ACAGAGGTATTTTAGCAATATTACATTAAAGTCAGGTGCTTCAAGAACAGCACAAGAACTGCTGTTGTGTAGATGTGCCCCGAAGGCCTTCTCTATTTTACTACTGTGATAAGGAAACCAGACTCACAGAAAATATTCACAATAATATTCTGCTCTTTCTTAAACAGACAAACTAATTTAGGCAGCTCATTTTCCTATTTTATGCTTCATTTAAAATACAACACACATTGGAAGATGAAGCGGCTGCAATATGGCTGCAGCATCTGTGTTCCTGTTATTAATGCCCTGACAAAAGGCAAGTAATACCCATAAACCATCTACTGGGAAAATCGGTCAGTAATTATAATATGGCTGCTTAAAATATGGCATGTTAGGCATCTCTTACTAAGCCTGCCGCGAGATCCATTAACGAGCACACGCTACAGTGTGGCGTCTCATGCTGAGTCTCACAGCTCTGCTGATGCAAGGCAAGTCTTAATACTCATTTTTCAGAATTAGACTTTGCAGAGACTGTTGATTAGAGTGCATTAAAAGTTTCAAATTTTCCTGATCCACGGCAAAATGTTTCATGGTAAACCTTGGGAACCCCTTTGCCCCTTTGGCCACATGTTCAGCAGAACAGATATTATGTCTACCCATGGCTGTAAGAAATAATTGGTAGCATGAGAAATTGGGGGTCTCATTGGTCTCATTCTTCACAGTAAAGTAGATACCATTAAACAGACAATGTTACCTTGCCCATGCAGGACAAAATGATCTGGTATCTCTGGAAAAGACCCCCTTTCCAAACCACCTATACTTACCTACCCAGCAAACCCTTGCTGCTCTTTCCTCCTCCTCAGCCAGCATTAAAATTACCGGTACCAGCAACCACGGGGAGAGATAATATCAATCCTCCTGCCCAAGCATGGTCACTGGGGGAGGAGGTAACATGCTGTTAGCATACAAGCAAGCTGTGAAGGAGGATGGAGCAGTAGGGGATCATTGGTAAGGTGAGTATAAGAAGGTTGTGGAAGGAGTACAATTTCCCATGACACTGTCACTTTGCTCTGCATGGAAATCCAGGCAGAAGATTAATTCCCTACATCGGCCAAAACATATTGGATAGTAAATATTTCTGACAAGTTCTTATTGCTGTCTCTAACACAGTTGAAGAGATATCACTTTACTTGTGTCACTGTTTTGTGACAACAGGAGAAGAAATGTAGGTAGCACTGTCACTGGGTCTAGAAGATACAGGCAGTAATAATAACCTGACAATTTTGTGATGGTAGGACTCTGATGTGAAGGTGGGAGGAGAAATCTGAAGTGAAGAGGGCTCCTAATGTGAAGTGGGAACTCTGATGTAAAATGGGGACTCTGATGTAAAGTGGCAACCCTGCTGTACAGGGGGACTCTGATGTAAAGGGGGGCTTCTAATGTAAAGGGGGGGCTCTTATGTAAAGAGGGCTCATTAAGTGAATGGGGGCTTCTGATGTGAAAGAGGGCATGTGATGTGAAGGTGGGATTCTGATGTGAAAGGAAGGGGTTCTGATGTGAAGGGGTGCTCTGATATGAAGTGGGGCCTCTGATATGAGGGGGACCATACTTGTTTTGGTGGATTTTTGAGTGGCCCCCTTAAAATCCATGACATTTTAGGCTAGAGTTCCTCAAGATTTTTTAAAGGGTGCTGTGACTGAACAAAATTGATAAACGCTGGTCCAGTATAAGTTTCCTTTCTTTAGCATCTGGCAAGCCTTGATGAAGGTAGACCTGTTAGTCATCCAAAATGATGTAACTGAACGCTTTTGTTGATAAAAACAAATTCTGGACTTTACATAACGTGCATGATGCCTTTCTCCTTGCACACCGGTCTATTCAAGACGCATGCTGACCTAGGGCTGTTACTCCCTGGAAAGAAAGACCTGAGATTGAATTGGAACAGTTACTCAAACAAACAATCTGGCGTCTCCTGTACTACAATACTATGACACTGTATATCTCTGATGAAATGCAACACAGAACTGAAGTAAAACTGTGATAGCCAAGGTGTATTTTTAGTGCGGAAATGTTGACTTTGGTCAATTAGTTCGCTTTCACCGGAAGGCTCTGGTTCTGCAGACGGCTGTTCAAGGAATAGAAGCATCAGCCATCAATCAAGGCCTGCGATCATTCTAAGGAAACACTGACACGATAGTCACTGTTTTTCTGATGTTTTTACAATCCAGTCTATTCGCTGGAAGTTCATCCATGACTGGAGCGGGTTTTAGTAACCTGCTGAGAACACTTTAGTTATTTAATGGTTATTAAATGGATGTGAAATGGTGCTAATCATGTATAAGCCATACTTGCCTCTCCCCTTCTCATGTCTGACCAGAATAATAATGAGTCTTCTTTTCAGGCAGACTTTTCAAAGCCAAAACACTCAAGGCCTTAAGGAGGCCTCCAGGCAGAATTCAAAAGGAACACATTTTTCATGCAGATATATTTATTTAAAGCATAT